ACACGTAATTACATTGTGAGAGGTGTCTATATTATTATGTATGATACAAATTTTCTTTTCTAAAATGCTATGCAGCATTTAATTTTATAAATATTACAGTTCATTTATTGATTCTAGAGTTGATAGACTTTTGAATAATTTTGACAATCTCAATTAAAACTTCTCTGATATTTTTTTACATGACTTTTTTCTTTTTTCTTTCTCCTTTATATTGCTTATCTTTTCCTTTTCTTTTCCTTTTCTTTTTGAAGGAAAGAGATAAAGAGAGCAGCCATCTACTGGTTCACTCCACACAGGCTGTAGCTGGGAGCTAGAAACTCAATTCAGGTGTTCCATGAGTGTGGCAGAGGACCAAATATGTAAGCCAATACCTGGTGCCTCTCAAGGTGCATATTAACAGGAAGTGAGGCCCAGAATTGGAGCTGAATCACAAATCCTTGCATTCCAATATAGAGTGGAACATCCCAGAAAGCTGCCTGCCTCTGTCATATCTTTGATTGCTATATTACTCATTCTTCTTGGGTGTATACCAAGAGTTCATTAGTGAATCAAAGAGCACACAAAAGTGTCATGGATACTATTGCAACACTAGCAAAGTGATTGTGCCAATTTAAACACACCAGTCTAGCCAATGCTATGTATTGGCATTTTATTTTTCAACTTTAATTATTGTGTTGGATAATTGCTATTATTTTATTTGTAGACTAAGTTTTCATATAACTCGTGAATGCTGAGTATTTTTAATGTGCTGATTGGCCACTTGAGTATATTTGTTTGTTGAATATTTGTTTAAATCTGTTGCCTGTTCCTAAAATGTTTTTATATTATTAAACTTACATTTCTGGAGACATGGAATCAATGTGTCTTTTCTATCCATCCCAATTAATACAGTGAGATTGTGCATTGTTTATACCATATTAAATTAATGTAAGAAGACATTGCAGAATGAAAAGAAGAGAGACCTTAGCATTATAGTTTCCAGTTGTGCCCATTTAGCCACAAAGAACTGCATTTTGTTTTTTTTAATAGCTGAGTAGTATTCCATGGAGTAGATGAACCAAAGCTTTCTTATCCAATCTTCTATTGATGGGCATTTTGGTTGCTTCCATGTTTTTGCAATTACTGATTGTGCTGCAATGAACATAGGGATGCATGTTGGTTTGTCGTAAATCAGGTGTTTTGGATATATTCCTAGGAGTGCTATTGCTGGGTCATATGGCATGCAGATTCCGAGTTGTTTGAGTGTTCTCCAGACTGATTTCCATAAAGGCTGTACCAATTTGCAGCTCCACCAGCAGTGGAGTAGGGTTCCCTTTTCCTCGCATCCTCGCCAGCAAGCGTAATGCTAAGGGAAATGAGCGAATCCCAAAAGATTAGATACCACATGTTTGCCTTGATTTAACCTGTAATTTATTGTTTGGTTGTTTGTTATTTTTTGAACGTGTCATTGATGCTGTCTCAACCCAGATGTTTCAAAGAATGGAACTTGCATTATTTTTAACATATTGTTTACCCAATACTATGTCAATTAATTCCATAATGTTGTATATTGATACTGAGGCCTTGTTGGGGCTTTTAACCGACCGGATCTTTACTCTGTTAGACCTATCTTCAGACCATAGAAGGTCTCCCCAGGAGGCCACTGAACTTATCTGGACAATAAGACGCTGAACTTTATGCTAGGCATGTGTTTGCAAGCAATGAATCTCAACTGAACTTGAACTATGGTTATGCAGCAAGGTGGAGGAATCCACCATGGGGGGAGGGATATGGGGAGGGGTGGGGGGAATCCCCAGCGCCTATAAAACTGTACTACATAATACAGTGTAAGCAACAATAAAAAAAAAAAAAAAAGAAAAGAAGAGAGACCAGATGGGATCTTAAGGTCTGAGAATGATGTAGTCATGAGTGTCCTGAGTTTTCTTTTTGCCTTATAGATTCCAGACTGGGTACCAGAAAAAAACTGGTAACCAGAAAATGCCAATGAGTATAGATTTTACCAGGACCAAATACAGTGCATTCAAATCCAAAAATTAGGAACAGGCAACCCAGCCAGACAAATGCCACAGGAATACCGCCGTTCAACCCCCTTATTCATACACAAACAGAGGCTAGACTTCACCAATGCCAGATTTTACCAAGATATTCTTCCCCTACCCTACAGTAATACCAGAAAAGTTGGTGAAGCTTCAACTTTCAAACACTACAACCTTCATGATTTAGTTTGGGAAGAGTAAATACTCACTTTTACCTGAATCAGCGAAGGTTTCTCTTGCCTTTCAAATTGGGTGATAAACAGAGTGTTGGGGCTTTAACTATCACTCAGTTACAGAAAAGATCACTTTGTATGGTAATAGTGGAAACTGCATAGGGAGCAGCAATGGGACAACCTTCTTCTTCCTATCCAGTTGGGTATTACTCTTACTAAATACTAAGAAGACAGTGCTTTGCTTGCTGTGTGTGTCAATGAACAGCAAGTAGAGAGCTGTGCTATCATTCTATCCTGTCAATAAAAGGATAGTCTGGAAATTACTCGTCATACCAAGAACCAATATGCTCTCAATGTAAATGAGAACAGAGAGGACAAGACATTGATGCAGTGTGGGCATGTGTCTTGGTAAGATGTCCACGTCCTGTATCAGAGTACCTGGCTCCACTAAATGATCTGACTTTTGACTCCAGCTTCTTGCTAACACAGACACTGGGTGGCTGTAGTGATGCTCAAGTGACTGGGTTTCTTCCATCCACGTGCAAGACCTGCACTGTATTTTTGGTTCAGCTTTAGTTTGACAGCCTCGGTTTCTGCACGTGTTTGGGGAGCAAATCAGCAGACGGTGACTCTCTATCTAGCTGTCTCTATCTGTTGTTCTCTCCACCTGCTTTTCAAATGAAAATGAAAACAGATAAAATTTAACAAAATGACTTTCAGATGAATAAGATTTAAAGAAGCACAAAACCCAAGATGTTGCTGATATTGGAAATATTTGAAAAGAATTTTAACATAGTCATTTGAAATTTAAGAAGTACTTCTTTAATATGAAGAAAGCTAACAAAACAGTTACAAAACAATCTCTGGGTGTCTTCTAAAATAGCTTAGACAATGCTACCAATATTCTTGTCTTTAACAATGTGGTTACACCTGTTGGCTTGGATGTCAGGAGAAAGATACCCTCATTCAGTGTTGGTGGGAATATAGGCCATAACAACCACATTACGCTCAGTTTCTTTTCCAAATTTGAGTGAGGTGTAAAGCTTCTTACCTTAATTTATTTTTTAAATTCCTAAAATAAGGATTTATTTCTGTATATATAGGTTTTAGAACTACTTATGCTGCATCTTTTGAATTTTAGTGTGCTGTATTTCCATATTCATTTGCCTCAAGATTTTTTTTTTAATATGTACAAAAAGGACAGATTTACAAAATGGATGAGAGAGAGAGAGAGAGAGAAAGAAAGAATCTTCTATCCTCTAGTTCACTTCCCAAATGTCGGCAATAATTGAAACTGAAGAGATCCAAATCCAGGAGCCAAGAGCTTCTTCCAGGTTTCCAATGTGGATGCAGAGGCCCAAGGACACTGCCAGTAAAGGGTTGGGTTGTTAAGCCATTTTGCTGGCTTCCAAATGCGAATATATTTGGACTTTGATTTTATTATCCCAAAGCAAACATAATTTCCTTTAATTCTTCAGATATGGTATCCCTGGATTTTGCATGCAAGTGGTACATTTTTTGAAGATTGCTGTACAAGAAATGACTCATTTTCTACCCCCACAGAAGTAACAATGCTACTCATTGATTCAGAGGCCGTTGGACACCACAGACTTTCTTCACGATAAATGAGGCCCCCACTTCCTCCACAGTTTCAGAAGTAATAGATGCCCCCTGATCAGTAATGCATAATCTATAGCCTGAAACCAATCACTATCACAGTGTAAGAAAAGTCCCGAAAAAAGAAATTCCAGTTTTGAAATGCATTGTTAGGCTGTGAACTGATAGGGAATGAGCACAGGTTTTCCTGAATATTTGCAAAAGGAAGACATCTTGCATAAGCTGGTGGGAATTTATGCACATCAGATGTCAATAAACAGTTGACTCAGAATTTGAGGAGAAAAGTGGGAAATCAAAAGCACTGGCCAAGAATGTTTTCTCTCTTTATAAGGTAGTATGTATGGAAAAGAAGAGAGAAGAGTTTATAAGGCAGGACAATAATATATATGGCTATATTATTTCTTTATTTTCATTTTATTTTCTTTTTAGTTTCATTTATTTATTTTAAAGAGAGAGAAAGCTTCCATTTGCTTGTTCACTCCTGAAATGGTTGCAGTGGCCAGAGCTCCAGGTCGAAGCTAGAATCCAGGAGGCTCACTGGGGTCTCGCATGTGATTGTACAGGCTCAATCAAGTGGTCAGTCCTCTATTGCTTTCCCAAGTCCATGAGCAGAGAACTGGATAGGAAATGGATCAAGTAGACTCAAACTAGTGCCCATATGGGATACCAGTGCTCCATCAGCAGCTTAACCCACGATGCCAAAATGCCACCTTCTATTTTTATTTTAATAAGCAATTATATTTAACTTGAATATTTAAAGATGTTACAGGAAAGTCAGTTTCAAATTTTTCTATCTCAGTTGTTTAATGGGAGAAGTCATACAGATTTAGATGCAAAGAATATTTTTGGAGATATAGCATAACTATAAAAATACAAGTTTCCTTTGACCTCAGTCCTTGAGAATTAAGCAAGATTTTTATCTGTGATGAAGAAAATAACAGAGCATAAACAATAGGAAAGGCTTAGTAACACTTGTTAAAAGAACTATTTAAATTCCACCCTCCACCCCATGTAAGCAGGCAACAATCACCAATAAAACACCTTCATAGACAAGTGTTGAAACCAGCAATTTCAGAAACGGAAACTGATTGAATCATAAATCATGAAAGTCTAGGTGACTTTCCCTTCCTGTCTAGAGTTCAGTTAGGAAAAAAAAAATACTTGTAGCAATGGTGAAGATTTTGCTACCAAGTTCCATGGGTTTTCCACTCCATCAAATTTTCCATCTATTCATGCTTCCCATCTGGGCACAAGGAGCAGGTAACTACCCACTTTTTCTCTTAAAACCAGCTAGCTAGAAATCAATGATTTTTAAAAAAATACCAGGCTGTACACTGTTCATTTTCATAAATATTGGTGAGTGGCATATTGTTCATGGATCCATTTGCTAATCATTTGGCTATCCTGCTATGTAGTCACCAGAGATTGAAGTTGAGAATATTTGAAATTATGACTAAATAAATGATACTGAAAGAAGGAAAACAGGCACTGCTTCTGAAGTATGCCAGCTAATTCTAACTGGTAGTCATAAACTAGCTAGAGGTAAGGGAAGCCTGTGCTACTACTTTGTATCTTGTAGAGTTTCTTGTAGATGTATTCCTGCAGCCTATTTACCTTTTAATTTTAAGTTTGATCTGTTCACGATCATTGACAAGTTTTTGGTTTTTCAAAAACCAAAACTTTTCAAGTGAAGCAGGCCAGTTTTCATTTGTAGCCCTTTAGATTGTGAGTTTGTCTCTTGTTACCCCTGAGCTGTGTTAAGAATTTAAGTAAGTTTTCTGATCAAAGCATCTAAATTGCATTTGTCTAGAGTCATTCTGACTCACGATAAAGGCAAAAGTTAGTGTCCTGAGGAATTCAGAATAGGAGAAGAGCCAGTTGGTTTTTGGAGAAGAATCAAAAAATTGTGATAACTTCTGATTTAGAAGTTTTTTTTTTTTTTTCCAGGATAAGGTAGAATATGAATTCAGTTCACTCGAAGTTGAATGTTGACAAATGCTTTGGGTAAAAGAGGGATGAGAGGTAGAGGAAACGTGTGTTTGTGTTATTTCTTCAGAATTTACTTTGCTATCTAAAATATACAATGAGAAAGGCCGATTCTATCATCAAGTAGCTCAGAATCTAGTAAAGCAGATGAACATGCTACTGAGTAAGTGTTCTGAAAACGATGAAGTTTTTTGATTGCTACTTTTTTGTGTTGCTATTCTGGCTATATTTACATAGGAGGATACTTCAAAAACTTGGTGAAAAACGGAAGTAAGAGGTTTTCTTTTTTGGTGTAAAAATATGTTTACAATCCATGCATAATTTTCACAGCACATATTTCACATGAGTGTTCTTGAAGACTAATTGTATTGTCTTTCGCTGAAGGAAGAGCCCACCTTGCCTATATAACTATAACATCCTGTGGTGACTTATGAATATTAGTACCTCCAAATCTTCTTACTCTATCTGATAGCTTCTGAGTCACATATCATTAAGACCATTGTTTCAGATTTAAAAACTTGAGACTTAGAAAGGCAAGTGGTTGCTGCAACAACACACTCCTAGACATCAGCCCAGGCACAGGACTCTTGTTTGCAAATGAAGTACTATTTATATAACAGACCATTCATGTGTGTATTGCATAGTCTACATTGTATATAATCTAGATCGAGGAATTTCGGAAAGATTGTGCAATTCTAATATGAGTATTATGAAAATACATATGAAGGCGTTTTTAACCTTTGAATTTAAGTAAAACAATTACATAGGAAAGCAAGTAAACAGAAAGTATAGTTTTCTTGCGGTAACCACATGACTGTACCCAAGACAGAACAGGAAGAGAACATGAGCAGTATCTCAGATCTCACTCCTGCTCGCTTTCACTGTCTTCTCTATGATTCTAGCTTCTTGCACCACAGATTTTTTTTTATTTGTGGTTGACTTTTCTTAAAATAAATGCATGGATTTAACATCTATTCATTTGTTTCTGCTTTATGTAACAGCATGTCTGTAAAATGTATCTGTTCTGTTGAGAATAGGTCTAGTTCACTTTTTTCTGAATTGTAAGCCTTTTCATATTTGTTATGTAACTAATTTAAAATAACTAGCATACCAATGTTCACTCCTTTTTACAAGAAAAGACAAGACATTTATGTTTCATTGTGTAATATAAAAATGTATTCTCCTGGGTAGAAATTTTATAGTAGGGTAGTTTCTTAATTTTGGCTATTAAATGTAATGCTGCTATGAACAATCTTGTTCATGATTCTTGAAAAACTAGGCTATGAGGTGCATGCCTCAGAGATATGAGGGTCACAGGATATGCCTATTTTTGACTTACAATACAACCAGAGTTTCCCAAAGTGCCTGAAAGAATTCACTATTTCATCTGCATTGCATGAGAGTTGTGTTTTCCACAAATTCTCATCAAACTTGTGATTGTCTTTCATTTCAGTCATGCCACCCTTAATTCTATCAAATTGTCTGTCCTTGTCATTTTTCTGTGGATTATGCCAGTATTAATGTATTAGGGTGCAAATCATGTACCACATATTTATAGCAAGTATCTTCTCAAAATCTATCAGTTGCCTTCCTACTTCTGAAGATGTATCTTCTTATTAACTTGAGTTATTTTTTTAAAATAGGCCACATTCTCACTTTTTCAGTATTTTAAACCATCCACGTATGCCCTGTTTAAGAAATCATTACCCAGGCCTGGTGCGATGGCGTAGTGGTTAAGGTCCTCTCCTTGCACACCCGGCATCCCATATGGGCACCGGTTCTAATCCCCGGCAGCCTCGCTTCCCATCCAGCTCCCTGCCTGTGGCACGGGAAAGCAGTCGAGGATGGCCCTGCACCGGCATGGGAGACCCGGAAGAGGCTCCTGACTTCGGATTGGCTCAGCTCCAGCTGTTGCAGCCTCCTGGGGAGTGAATCATTGGACTGAACATCTTCCTCTCTGTCTCTTTGTATATCCGCCTTTCCAATAAAAAAAAAAAATCATTACCCATTGCTGCCATGTGGATGTTCTACAATGCTTTATTTAAAAGAATTATGATTATGGGCCTGGCGTGGTGGCTCAATTGGTTGATCTTCCTCTCTCAGTTCCAGGATCCCATATGGGCCTGGTTCATGGCCTGGTTGCTTGGCTTCTGATCCAGCTCTCTTTATATCCTGGGAAAGCAGTGGAGGATGACTCCTGATTCCTGGCTTCAGATCAGCAAAGCTTTGGCCGTTGTGGCCACTTAGAGAGTGAACCAATGGATGGAAGATCTTTCTCTCTGCTTCTCCTCTGTGTAAATATTTCTTTCCAACAAAACATAAACTTCAAAAAATTGTATATAATTATCTTTAATATTTATATTTGTAATGCACTTGAAAGGAATTTCTGTACTGATTCTGGGTGGGGGTATAATTTTCTTACATATAGGCATCTCATTGATCCAGCATCTTTTATTGAACAGAATTCTATGATGAAAAAAAACAATTCAGATTGTGTATTCAGGCAAAAAGCTTGTTATACTGGTTAACTGTTTCACTGTTAAAAGCAAACACTCTTGCTCAATTAAATTGCTCTAATCAGGGCCCGGTGGCGTGGCCTAGTGGCTAAAGTCCTCACCTTGAACGCGCCAGGTTCCTATATGGATGCTGGTTCTAATCCCAACAGCTCCAATTCCCATCCAGCTTCGTGCTTGTGGCCTGCGAAAGCAGTTGAGTGCAGCCCAAAGCCTTGGGAACCTGCACCAATGCATCTATGCAGCACCGGCCATTGCGCTCACTTGGGGAGTGAATCATCGGATAGAAGATCTTCCTCTCTGTCTCTCCTCCTCTCTGTATATCTGGCTTTGTAATAAAAATGAATAAATCTTTTTAAAAATTGCTCTAATCAGTACAAATCTAAAAATCAACCATAAATAATCATCCTTTCCAATCCTATGCAATATGTGTTGCTGTTTTTATATTCTATTCCATTTTATTTTCTTATACTTGAATCTATAATGCATTTTTTCTAATTTAATTTTGTCTGAATTACAAGTGTTCAGTTTACTGTTTTTTTTTAAGATTTTTAAAGTTATTTTTATTGAAAGGCAGATATACAGAGAAAGAGATACAGAGAGAAAGACCTTCAACGACTGCTCTTGTCCTCAAAATGGCCCTAAAGGCCAGAACTGAGCTGATCTGAAACCAGGAGCTAGGAGCTCATGGGTACAGGAACCCAAGGCTTTGGGCCATTCTTTACTGCCCTCCTAGGCCACAAGCAGGGTGCTGGATGGGAAGTGGAGCAGCCGGCATACAAACCAGTGCCAATTAAGGAACCCAACACATACAAGGCAATGATTTAGCTACTAAGCTATCGCGCCAGGCCTAGTTTACTGTTGTGTAAAGAGCCTCTTAAAATTATTTTAATGAGCTGACTTGGTGACAATTCAGGCTAATCTTCCACCTGCAAAATGGGCATCCCTTATGGGCACTGACTTGTGTCCCAGCTGCTGCACTTCTGATGCAGCTTTCTGCTTATTGCTAAGGATGGCAGTGGAGGATGGCTTATGTCCTTAAACCCCTGTATGTATGTGGGAGACTTGTAGGAAACTCCTGTTTCCCACCTTCAGATGCGCTCAGCTGTGACTACTGCAGTTCTTTGGGGAAGTGAGCTAACAGATCTCTCTCTTTCTCTCCATCCCTGCCCCTCTTCTCTTTCCATCTTTCCTTCTTTCTCTAAAATGTTTAATTTGGAAATAAATAAATCTTCTAAAATTACAATTATTTTGTTTATTTATTTGAAAAGCAGTTACAAAGAGAAGAGACAGAGCGAGCGAGAGAGAATCTTCCAGCCCCTGTTTCACTACCCAAATGACTGCAACGGCTGGGGGTGGGCCAGTCTGAAGCCAGGAACTTCTTTCAAGATTTCCACTAGAGTGTAGGATCCCAAACACTTGGACCATCTTCTGCTGCTTTCCCAGCTGTATAGCAGGGAGCTGGATAAAAAGTGGAATATCTGGGACTTGATGTATTGCTATAACCTGACATATGGGATGTCAGCATCGCAGGCAAGTGCTTAGCTTGTGACATCACAATGCTTGCTCCAATTTGTTGTCTTGAATTTTTTAGAATCAACTTGTAAATTTCCAGAGTTAAAATTTTTAAAAGTGTTTGACCTGTATCAGATTTTCTTTGAATATAAAAATTTAGGTGGAAAGAATTTTCTTCTTTACAGTTACTTTTTTATCTATAAATATGGTGCATGCTTCTGTCTATGTAGGACTTTAATTATCTCA